AGGCTACGCGTTGAAACTTGCGACGCATCGCTAGAAGTTTTATGATAGGCAGTTGAAGAAACTAGAGGATTAGATGCATCAATGCCTATCGCTGCATGTTTCAGAGTGTATGGCGGTGTTAATGATAGAAGTGAGGTTGAAGGTTTGTTGAGCGACGCGAGGGTTGTGGTTTCATTATGGAAGCTGATGATTGTAAAGGCGCGTTGAAGCTTGCGATGCGTCGCTAGAAGTTTTATGATAGACAGTTGAAACAGTGAGGATTAAATGCATCGATGCCTATCGCTGTATGTTTTAGAGTGTATGGGAGTAAGGATAAAGGTGAGGTTGCAGAAATTGTAATGGTGGAAGTTGAGACATCATTCCAGCGATGGAAGCTGAGATTGTAACGGTTGTAACGATAGGAAGACAGCAATAAAAGATAACCGCGACAGTAGAAGTTAAGATGTCAATAATCGGAATAATAGAATCGTTATGGTAGAAAAGATCTCGACTGCAGGATAAAAGCTAAGAGAACTACCAACACGATAATAATAAAGTTTCTTCAGCACATTTAGCATGGCTCACTCATTCAACCCTTTACACTAGGGAGGTGACTCTCAATCACCACGTGATTCGATACAACAAAACTATGAAATTGAATATTTAATATTTCCAATTACAGTTTGCATTGCTACGTGAAATATTGAAATAAAACACCTCTGTTGCTTAATTTATTTATGAATTATCGTTGAATCAGTTTCAAACAATACGACCTATATCTCGTCAGAAAATGTTGAATATTTCCATTGAGAAACTTTCGAGTGCAAAGGGTATACTTGTATTTTCCCTTCGAGTTAATTTCAAAGAATATCTTTACTTCATGAAAAAATGTTAAATATTTCTAGTGAGAAATTTCCGAGTGCAAAGAATTAAACTTTCACAAAGAGAAACGAGTAACACCATAAGTGCTCTTGAAGGATCGTCATTACCTACAAGGTCCGCGTAAATGTTCCGTTTTACATTAGGTATTCGCGTCGTTGATCGATTACTAAACGCAGCTTCATGCGCTGCTTGAGCGCAAAGCCTTCCATTACAAAACAACCGGTGTATTCGTACCATTCCAGCTGATCGAGTATCGCGGCTCGCTGTAAACGCGGCACAACGCGCGCCTGATAAAACCGGCGCCGCGATCGTACACAGCCACAATGCCGCGTGCTTTTCTGCGCGTGCATGTGTGCACGGTACGCCCAGCCGACAGGATATCCAATAGAAATATCGCGCGGATTGCGACGGGATCCGAAGCGTATCGGAAACGCTGAGAGATCCGCCGCCGCGGAAAGGGATATCGAAAACTGCGATGGAAATTCGGGGG